ACTGGTAGCAGGTTTGTCATAAATAGCATTTATCAGACTGAGAGAATGTCCTTCTATATGTATCTTCTTCAGATTTTTATTACGAAATGATATTGGATTTTATCAAAGACTTTTTCAGTGTCTATGAGAAAATCAAGCAATTTTGTCCTCACTTCTACTTGTGTGATATGTTATATGTATCAATCTGCATATATGGAATCATGTTATCATCTCTGGGATGAAATCTATGTGGATGAAATCATGGTATATGATATTTGTTTGCTTGTTTGTATTTTGTTTGTTTGTTTGTTTTTGGCAGAACCAGGGATTGAACTCAGGCCCTTGCACCTGCCAGAGGAGTACTTATTCCACTGAGCCATCTCCCTGGCCCCTTGTTTGCTTGTTTATTTGTTTATTTCAGACAGAGTCTTGCTCTGTTTTTCAGGGTGGCTTTGAATTCAGTATGTTACCTAGACTGGCCTTAAATTTGTGGTAATCCTGTCTCAGCCTCCTGAATGCTAGGATTACAGGTGCATATCACCACAACTAGTTTACATATGACCTTTTTTGATGGCTTATTGAATCCTGTTTGTCTATGTGGTTTTGAGGATCTCTGCATGTATGTACGTTTATTAAACAGATTGCCCTTTGGCCTGAAGTTCATTCTTTTTATCTTAGGTCCGTAATTGGTTTTTACGTCCAGTAGTGACTGCTTTATGAATTCAGTGAAGCAGTGTTTGGTGCATGTGTATTTTTTATTCTTCTTCCTGTTGAATTTTATCCTTAGCCAATATGTAGCGACTCTTCTTGCCTTTGTTGAATTTTATTCTTAGCCAATATGTAGCGACTCTTTTTGCCTTTTCTAATAAGTTGACTTGAATCCTCTTTGGCTGAAAATAGGCTAGCTACCCCTGCTTGTTTTAAAGAGTCTATTGCTTTCCTTGCAGCTCTCCTTTTTCTCTAATTTTGGTCTGCAAACTTAGGTTGTTAACCATCCAGAAGACAAGCTTATTGTTATTACCATACAACTTAGGCT